TAAAGCGCGTCGGCGTGGATCAAGGCTCTGACGGAGGAGAAGAAGCCGAAAGATTAGCCTAATAAATTTATCTTAATCTTAAACGGCTGTAATCAAGTGCTCACCCGATTACGTCTAACTACCCTTCGGTGTACGTGTTCTTTAGTTTTAGAGGCGACGAATTCAACGGATGTCATGTTACGGTCATGTTAGATTTCGTGGCATTTCTCTCTGAAGAGACTATTCAGACGGTTGAAAAAGTGGCAGTGAGTAGGTCGTGTGAGAAGTTCGGTTCAGAACCCACATAGTTCATTTTTTGCAGGGTTGGCTCTTCTTTCAATGGCCGAAATTTGTTGAGAAGAGTCGGCTATTTATGGTACCACCTGCTGAGCGCAGTCTTACGATTTAGGGATACTTTCGACATCCTGCTAGAAAACTGTTTTAATTCAACAGTTTCTCCGAGCTGGGAGAGCTACACCTGCCCTCGTCCGGGTAACAGACATCACAACCCCATCGCGCGGTTTCACATCTGTAAGTATTGGCCGACCGCAGTCGCTTTCTCACTATTCAGCCAAGGTTTATAGGTAATTGTGAAGAAACCATTCTAAAGTGTACGTCACCACGTGAACGAGAAACGGGTCATTGCGAAGGGGTAGACAAAGCCGGAGGATCTTCGGAATAGCGTTTTATTGTGTCCTCTTATCAACGCTGCGGACTTTTCATCATACTATGTGCAATTTGATTCTATAGAATCTTTTAGCTAATTTTTATCAACACGATATGCCAGAACCACCGTCACCGCCTTCGAGGCTCTTGCCAACCCTATATCTGCCTACTTCAAATTAGAAGAAAAAAATCGTGCTGAACTGAATATGTGTTTTCAAAGCTCTGAAAAAAGTGAGAGACATTTCAGAGCAGAGCTGACAGTATCATCAGATAGAGGAAAAGGCGCTAAATGATGTGGAAAATCTAGCGGTCTGGCGAAAATTTAATCAGAACGAATGCGTTGAAACTTGAGCGTCAAAAACGGCAAGAACTTTTTTACAATCTATTAACTGCCGGCTGCCAACATTCGCTCCCATGTCTTCCCGAAGTTGCGCGGTATGTTGAACTGAGTTCACTGACTAGAACACCATCATCGTAGGGGATCGTATCTATCATTGCATAAATAGGTTGTCCGATACGTAGCATTTTTTAATCAAGCGGAAATTTTTCCTTCAATAGGTTATGCTTGCACACAATGCCATATACCATTAGAAAGTGAATTGCTTGTTCTATATGTTCTATGATCAAGATGTATATGGAACAAATTCGTTTCAATATCAATTGTGAAGTGAATAGATTACAGCTTTACAAAGTGGTGTCCCCATTAAACGAAAATTAGCCAAAGCGGCAACTGACTCAAACTCT